GAGAACGCCCCCTCAATGCCATGAATGGAGACAGTAGGGTAGCGCCATAAATGGGCCAACACATCCACCTTCAATGAACAGAGGACGGACAATGATCTCCTGTCATTGTACATTCATTTGGTCTTTAATATTGTAATTCATTCAATAATATGTTCATTCACTGTAACACTGCAGCAAACACTGACTGGAACATCTGAGAGAAGAGGAAGATTAATTCATTCATTCATCGCCTACAGCATTTCTGAGTCACTGGGAGCTGGAGGCTGGAACTGATCTCCGGAGGCATAAGGTCAAGGATGAGGCACACCTTGTAAGATTTGTCAGCCATTACAGGAACACGCACTGAGAAACAAACGTTCAGGTCATTCTCAGTTATGACTTTGGTCTAGTTAGACTGTCAACTGAACCTAACACAAGTTATTAAAGACAACCCAAACACACATTTAAACTCTGGACAGACAGACTTGGAATTGAACCAGCAAACTGGTAATTATTTAAGCTGTGAGGCACTAACCACCAAGTTAATTCTCTACAAGTTGTTATTTATATTTATATTATATATAAAAAATATAATGATGATAAAAAAGACTTAAATGTCAGAAATGACAAAGTACTCTTTGACCTGATGTGTTACCATGTGGTATTACGATTCTCCAGTCTCCCCTCAAGTTAAACTTTTCCAAATCCAGTTCTTACCTTGTTGTTGTACATGAGCTGATCCACACCAATTTTGTTCTTGTAGCTGTCGACATCAAACTGAATATCCTGGTACATCTTCCATTCTTCATCAGAGAGTGGAGCCACAGCTTCCCTGATCCCAGGAACCAGGATTGTACCGCTGGGGCTGATCAGTGAGTCTGACAGGATAGAAAGAGTGGAATAACAACAGAAATACACAAAATGAAAACAAAAATACACAACAAAATATAGCAGTAGTTACGTCATCATTCAAGCTACACTTTTTAGCAGTATTTAACACTGACTTTTTAAGCTGTATTCCTTATAAATTTGGCAAACCAAATATGTGGATTTTTATGTTGACAAATATGGATATTTTTCTTCCCTCAGATCCACGGGAAGGCTGATTCAGCAGCCTGGAGCCTTCGCCTTTTGGCTAAAGGCAAAATCATTTAATAGGATTTTAATGTAAGTTTCAGAACCTTACTCAGAGGCACTTCAGTTGGGAATATGTTTAAGATTTAAAAACTTCACCTTGCTGACCTTGCACAACTGCTCAACCAGAGTGGCTAGTCCAAGTTAATACCTAAAGTTTGGCGATGAGTCAGAGGGATTTACATACATATATATTTCATTTTAATCATATATGGAGTTCATTCAACTCAAGTGTAAAATTAATAAATATACAGAACTGAATTTCTAACACTGACTTATAATTATGCAACTGAATCTAATTGTGATAGATATAATTGATGTTTTTACTTTGTATTTTTTGTGTTAATTATTTTGCGCACACATGCACATATATTTATAATGTCACATTTATCTTGTCTAATGAACAAATTATTGAATAAACCAGGCATTGAATGGTTCTACAAACGCTAAGATGGACATTTTCTAATTGTACATTTTACAATGTAAAATCTCCCAAGTTCTGATCCTGATTCTTACCCAGAATACCAATAAGGTCTGTCATTGGTTCAATCACAACACCGCCATACACTCCAGAGTGTAGATCTTGTTTTGGTCCCTGAACCTGTACAAAAAAAACCACATCAGATGTTCGTAGATGCTGAAGCTCATGCGTTTAGGGTTTTCCTGTTTGACCTGAGTGTTTGAGATTGATAGAATAAAACCTCAGCTGTGAAGTAACAATTTCCTCTGGTGCCATAGGTGAGGGCGGGCCTCCTGCTGAGCCAACCACAGTCTGAGATGATGATGTAGTCCACATCTGAGAAGAATGTGTCTCTCTGGGCCACAATCATGACATCAAGGCCATTAGAGCCGGTCTCCTCCATGCCCTCGATAACAAACTTTACATTGACTGGCAGCTCCTGAAACACAACAAACACAGCAGTGATGCTAATGTGAGCCCCGTGTGTACTGAGCTGACAGTGTCAACAAATAACTATAATAACTATATTAAAATTATAATAATGATGATAATAACAATAATAGAATTGTTTGACAATATGAGAGACTGCAGATAAATAGGCTTGCACCACAGTCAAAGGTGATGCCACTAATGGCCTGGGATTGGCTGGCATGAGGTAACCTGATATAAAACACTCCAAGATGGCTGCTGGGCATTGGTTGTTGGGTATGCTGAACACAAACAGTTTTTTTATAAACATTTGTTCTAGTGCTGTACTCGGTCAGTGAAGGCGTAAAAACAGAATTTTGTTTTGGCTTTTTTTCCTTCTGTTCAGGTAATTCCTTGTTTTTTCTTATTATTCAGGTGTCAGGTCAGCCTACTACTACTTTTTTGCTAATTGCTGAGACTACATGCAAATAGAGTTCCCCTGAAACTAAGACATGATTGAAGATGATTCAGAGCACTTGCTATAAAAAAACTCTGAGATGGCTGCATGAGCATACAATTGTCAGTTAGAGTTATTTAATAAGATTATATATTTATCAGTTGTTGGCTTTTATCCACATGTAAAATTCAGATTGTATATATATGGGACAACTTTGAACCTTTTTTAAGTAACAATGTTGGTATTGCTGGTCTGATGGTTTAACAGGGCATTTGTGGATTCTGTTTTGTTAAAATTAGCTTCTTTGCTTATTTGCTATTATGTATTTGTCTGTGGGAAATGTGTATCCATATTTTTGACAGGCTAACTTTACACATTCTATATTTTACAGCATTTACCCAAATGCTACTGCACTTAATTTAAATGAACCTTTGGATAATGTCTTGGCTTTATTATTTTGTTATTGTGGAGCTGGGTTCTTTTTATTCGTTGATTTTTTTTTATTTTTTTTTTGCTATACATCCTTTTAGCTATTTGCAGCAGAATGTCTCTGTAAAAACTAACTGTCTGTTACACAGGCTCATTAAACTCTCCAGTCATTAGAATTTCAAATGTGCTTTTCAGATATTTTAAAGTATATTTTCCCCTAGTCTCTTATTCCTGACCCTTTTAACATGGCTTTTTGATAAAGAAGTGGTGTTCAAGTGCAGAACGCAGCCGTCAGCTGAGTTTGAAGCCTGTAATATCTGTAACATCTACAGAAGCCCACAGCACTTGCCTTATGCTTTTTGATGTGCATATTCAGTGCCATCATTTTCTCACAAGACAAAGTCAGAGTGAGGGTGGTGGGAACAGAGTGATGCAGTGACTTGCAGAAAAATCAGCAATGACTTTGCAATTGCTCCCCTCTCCCCCCTCTGACAAGCCTGAGGCTACTTTGTATGTTCCCAATAAATGTGTGGAGTATTCTACTCGACTAAAACAGTCTGTTCAAATAAACAAGCGTTATCGTCTTGGTCTGTTATGCCCCAGGCATCCCTCTTTCTCTCTCTCTTTTCATTGCTTTCCCTC